AGTCGCGACATGGACTCGCGAGTCGCGACTCGTCTCTCGAAACTCGCCTTTTCGTCTCTTTTGGACTCGCGAGTCATGACATTCTCGCGAGTCGCGACCATCTCGCGAGTCGCGACACTGACTCGCGAGTCGCGAGAAGTTCAGGGCAGCTTTTCGGTCCGTTCTTTCGGTCCTTCCTTCAGTATTCTGAGCATGTTAATGGGTCTTCTTGATATCCTGGTCTTAGCTCAAGTAGTCTCGTCCTCGATCAACACAACCTACCTCCTGAAAACACAAACACGAAGAAAACACGAAGCAAAACACAGCAAAAAGACACACAAAACGAACTAAAGAGAAAAATGGAAAAATCACAGAATTGGACCAAATAAACCACGAAAATCCTATAAGTGGGGAAAAATAAAGAGAAAATGACCCAAAATAAAGACACAAAAATGAAACAAACAATTCACATTGACCAGTCTACAGAAACGCAAACTGGCTCTGATACCATACTGTAACGCCCCACTTTTATTTACCGAAAATCAGAATAAATTTTTCGAAATTTATTTCAAAAACAATATTTGAGGCGCTACTCATTTTCGAAACAATAATCAATACTCATCATCAATAATAAAATTCCAATAATGCAATAATAATCCAATAATGATCTAGGGAAAAAAAATCACATCAATAATTCAATAATCTGGTACTAGTGAAAAACAATAATCAATAATGCAATAATATTCAAATTCAGTTTTTAAGGCGGAAGCATTTAATCAAATTTAAAGACCACCACTCGCGTCCCTTCCGTCGTGCTCGCTTAACTAACCTGCATCCATGAAGAGCAGGTGGGGATGAGCACAATAGGAAAATCGAGGTGCTCACCGCTATGCAATAATTAATATCAATAATCAATACCAATAAAGGTATGGTCGCAGCATGTATACGAATCAGTAATTGTCCCATCTCCTATCAATAATCAATAATGGTCTCATGTGCACACCTATAGCAATAGACTACTGCCAAGCTATATATCGAACGCCTTCCTCGAAGGTCTTACAATGAGTGCCCGGCCAGAAGGAGCAATAATCCACCCCGAATGCCAAAACTCACGCCTTGGCCTTACATACGAGGATCACCAGCCAAGGCTCACGCCCTGACTGCCAACAATAATAAAGGAGACTACCCGAAGGTACGTTCTATAGCTACGGGGATAACCGTTCGACGGCCAATATAGCTCACATCGAAGGTTACATGGTTGACATGCATACTTTGATCATACAACAGCAAAAACAATTAATTAAGGCATAGCAAATTTTACAATTACAACCCACCTGGAAATTGCGATAGAAAAACACACACAAAGCTGGTACGTAGGTTGAGGCTCGACTCCTCAAACACCTACATTTAAGCGAGATAATTTATCAATAAACTATCTTACTATTCGAATTTGTCATAAAACCCATACTTAATAAAAATTAAGACTTAAGGGTTTTAATCAGATTTTTCGTGGACTTGGAACTCTCTCATTTTTACAAAATAGGACTCAGAGCATTAATTTGGAGTCTCGGGACTTAAAATAATTTTTACAAATTTTTCTCATTTCAAAAATATTTTTAAAAATTAAAATCGGTATTAAAACGGGCTTCCGGAACTCAAAATAGGCTTAAAAGGCTAATTGGGCCGCGCTGGTAGAAGCTGGCCAAAAACTGCCCAACATTTGGGCCTTTCATTCCAAAATTGGGCCAAGATTGGAGAGAAAATGGGCTGAACTAAGGGCCTGGACCAGCAGTTGGCTCGCGGGCCGGAATCGGGCCTCTCGCGGGCTTCTGCTGCAGACTGAAATGCGGGCCGAGCGCGCGGGCTGGAGCGGGCTGGGCAGCCCGTGCACCAGGTAGGGAAATTAAAAAATGAAATGCGGGCAGCAAGGTTCGAACACAGGACCTTTCGCTAGGAACTGGGAACGGAACCCATTTGACTACAAGGGCTATTTGAGACTTAAATGGCAAACTTTAACAAATGAATTGAAAACAAAACCTGCGACTGGAATTTGAGAAACAGAGCTCGGGAAATTTACAGAACTTGTGAAATCACAGCAGATTTAACTCGAACTCGGCAATGCTATTACCAACGGCGACCGATACCAGACTAAAGGGTCGAAAGTCGTTTATGAAAAGAATAACACATTTACAAAGTTCCGAATAACATTAAAAGCCAGGTCTAAAGGGTCGAAAGTCGAAACGACAATACGTGGTTTAAAAACAAACGAACGACATACCAACGATGGCAAGGCTCGGAAAAGTAGAATGAGACTCCGAAGTACAACATAACCACATCAACAAGCAAGGATACTCGATTCTAGATTATACGCAACAACAAGGCTTGAACGGAATATATATATATGTATGAACAATAACTAGCATTCTACCTGTGCATTTGCACATATATTAATAAAGTATTATAAGTTATTTGTATGCACATAATATTAAAATTATAAGTTCGATAATGTTATTATATTTCAAATATGGAATATTATAAGTTAAACTTATGCATATAATATTAAAATTATAAGTTAGATAATAACATTATGTTATAAAATTTGATCATTGCTTAAAATAAATAGTATATAATGATTTGATTCAAGATGAATCACTATATTAATTTTATAAAATATAATAAATAATGTATTTTGTAGTTTTGAGGGTTCATGACCAATTGGTTAGCTGAAATATATTAAACTTGTTATAACAATTGCTTAAGTGGTTTTAAGAAATTTTACTATGATATTAAGGTAAAGTAATCATTTAGATAACAATAGCTTAATTTAATAAAAAATATATTATTGATTTTAGAATAAATAATTTAAACAAAAAGTTTTTACAATATAATTTTATATGCTTATGTACTTTCATATATCATTTAGCGCTAAATAAATTATTAATTTTACTAATAACTATTGCAATAAAAAATAGAATTGTTATTTAATTAATATAATGTGTAACAAATTTTGTCTTAATTAACCAAAATAAAAGTGCAAGAGAATATTTTATCATTAGTGGGATAGAGTGGTAATAATAATAATAATAATAATAATAGTAATAATAATAATAATTATAATAATAATAAAAATAATAAGAACAATATTACGGTTTTTGTGTTAAGAAAATTGTCAAATAGTCCTCCTACTTAATTACACATCAACAATATTGTCTTTTTTATTTTTTTTCTCTCTGCTCTCTATCATTTATTGAGACTAAAGTTTAATGAGGTAAAATTCATTAGGTAAAATTAAATAGGTTTTATTTATTAGGTAAAATTTATTGCTTAGCTTGCAATTATATATATAGATATAGATTATTAAATTTATTATTAGTAATTAAATATAGAGAGGGATATAAATGATAAACTTGTAACGGTTTTTGGAGGGAAATCGAAAAGGTTTTATTAAATGTTTTACTAAATGTTTTATTAAATGTTATTAGCCAGCAATTATATATATATATATATATATATATATATATATATATATTTTTTTTTTTCTCTCTCCTCTATATCATTTATTGAGACTAAAGTTTAATGAGGTAAAATTCATTAGGTAAAATTAAATAGGTTTTATTTATTAGGTAAAATTTATTGCTTAGATTGCAATTATATATATAGATATAGATTATTAAATATATTATTAGTAATTAAATATAGAGAGAGATATAAATGATAAACTTGTAACGGTTTTTGGAGGGAAATCGAAAAGGTTTTATTAAATGTTTTATTAAATGTTATTAGCCAGCAATTATATATATATAGATATGACAACCCGGAAGCATAGAACGAGACTCCGAACTCATACGAATCAATTACAGCAGCAAAAACACTCGATAATTTTCGAAAACTAGAGTTCCAACATGTCCACATAAATTCACGATTTCACACTAACAAATATTCGAAATTCAACGAACATACGAACTGCTCAATCAAACAAGAATCGATGGAACGAGCACGATGTATATCTAACATGATATACGAGTACGAACAAAATAACAAGAGGGTCGCTCTCTACCTTCCTTTGTGGAGGTCGATTGGAAAAATGAACGGACAAACGGGGCGAGACTCGGGACTCAATGGCTACGTTTAGCACTCCGACGGAATTCGACGGGACTCAACGGCCACGATCGGCACTCCGACTGGACTCGACGGGACCCGACAGAGGGTGATGGTGCAGAGCCGCCACGGGACTTGACGATGGTGGTTGAACGCGGCCTGGACTCCTCGCGGGAAACACAGAAAAGCCGGAACTACACGCCGGTAAGGAAGACGCCGGCGGAAAGGCTTGCGGATGGCGGCAGAAGCAAAACCGATGGTGGTGGCAATTTAGAGTGATGATGATGGAGGGATATATTTGCAAAGGAAAAAAAATAAAAAAATGAAGTCTCCTGTTGTGTGTTGTGTGGATGACGAGCATAAACAATTATATTACAATAATTGTTGCAACGGCTAAACAATTATGTTACCATAATTGTAATATAATGAGACTTAACTCAATTTTTAAATGGCCATCATGATTTAAAAATAGGAAACGGTTATAGGTTCATGGCCGGTTCGTGTGCGGCTTCACTGCTCAGGAGTCGGATTTTCTTGGTTCGGTCAAACGGTAAATTAATATAAAATCGAAACATAAATATATATATATATATGTAAATACACAATAATTATTAATATATAATAATAATATATAACACACACAAATAACATTCATTTAATAATAATAATATACATTTTATTTATTTCTAATATAACATGTAGACAATTAATATTAATAATAGTAATATTACTAATAACAACCAATATTAGCAAATTGACATTTAATAATAATAATAATAACAATAATAATAGTAATAACAACAACAACAACAACAACAATAATAATAATAATAATAATAATAATAATAATAATAATAAAGGCAATTAATATAGCAATAATTAATAATTATACCAAATTAATCCACAATCGAACGGGGTATTACAGTATGAGTAACTCTCGCTCGAAATCGTTCCATCGTATGGCTCGCTGTATACGCTAGTAAGCCACTGCCACCACACGTTGGCTTCTCCATCAAGATAGCAGCGTACCTTACTCGATCACGTCCTTCGGTCTCGTTGAGCTCAAAATATTGCACAACCCGGTTGAGCCATGCATGGGGATTGTTGCCGGTGAACGTGGACAGCGTGATCCTCGGCTTCTCGGGCTCCAGGCGATCGCGATGGCGGGACACCTGAGACCGCTGGTCGAAGTCGTCCTCCTCACGCTCATGCTCACGCTCCTCATGAACCGACGCCTTTGTGGTATCGAGACCCTCGCCTAGGGTATTCATAGCCTTGATCATACTTCGGACTTGAACGTCGAGATTATCGATCTTGTCCTTCATCTCCTTGTTAGCCATGGCTTTCTTCTCTTTGCTTCTAGGACTCGTGTTGAAAATGA